CAATCCAGCACCTCGCCTTGCCACATGCTGAAATCACCGGTCCCATCGAAGATCACCACCGAGAGTCTGACGTTCGACATCACCGTCTTTGCCGGAATGAATGCATAGGATGATGCGCCCTCGACCTCCTTGGACATCTCGGTCTCGAATGTAGTGCTCACCTCTTCGAATAAGCCTAGGGCGAACCCGTGCATTTGCACGGAAAACAATATAATAGAACAAAAAATAATAAAAATATATAAACAATAGTAAAAATCATAATATAATCATTGAAAAAATGTTCTAAGAAATAATAACTAAATATTTTTAAATAATTCTTTATATACAACGTTTGTGGTTTTTTTATCAACAGAATTTCCATCACTACGAATCATATCTTCAAATTAAGACATATAATGGTTTTAATTGTTTATATAATTATTGTATTTTGTACTATAGATCATATAGGAAATTTAAAAAAAAAATACTAAAAAAATACCCGCAAAATATTACAAAATAAATATGTGCCAAATATTTAAGACATTTGAACAAAATGACAATTTTTGGGCCATAAAGAAATATATTGATTGAATGATAAAAAAAAATCTAAATTAGAGGTCCACTTAATTTTTTAGGGTAGCCAAAATCAAATAGAAAACAGGTCAATGATAACATGACTACAAATAGAGATAAACTCCTTGAGAGTGATGTAAGCCATTTTTTTTTTGTTTGATGTCGGCGCTTCTCTCGTTATTCACTTTGTCTGAAACCCTAATCCTTAACCTGATATTACGACAAACTCGGCGAGATTCAATACAAAACAACTGTTTTACCGGAGATTTTCTCCCGGTAAAGGCCTAAAATAAAAAAAGACATCCGATAAATGTTGTTTTTGTGACTAACAGTAGTGATCGAAAAATAAAATATTCGTCCCGATTTCTTAATCTGTGTTGCTAAATCTTAACAAATCGGTCAAAATCGGGCGATAATATTACAAATCTATGATGAGTTGAAATATTTTTTATTAAACGTAGTTTCTATTTTTTATTATTTTCAATGATCTGTGTCGTTTTTCGAAATTCTTTGTGAATAAGCTTCAAGATATATCATATTTTATACATAATTCTAAATTATTTAGATGTTTTTCAAAATCGTTTTTCGAAGAGAACATGACATTGGTCGAACTTTTTCAAACTTTTATGTATTTTGTTCAGGGTTTGAAAAAATATGTAAGTTTCTAACAGTTCTGTTCAGCTCTACTAACAAATATATAGGTACGTTTATAACATATCTGTTCATATCTGTTTATAATATACATATGTAACTTTTATGTATTTTGTTCAGATTTTGAAACCTAAATAGTTCAATTCTTTGTCGTCTTTCTCATCATATCAGTAACACTTGTTCAAAATCGCTTTTCGAAGTTGTTCAAAGTCTTTTGCCGAAGTTTTACAATTGTTTTAGTATTTTGTTCAAAATTTGGAAATATTTGGTAAGTTTATAACAAATCTATTTAGATATATTTATCGCATATTAGGAATTTCTTGTTTAATGTCTAAAGAATCTGTAGGAATTTTTATTTTTAAAACTTTTACGCAAAAAAATCGATTTTAATATAAAGGCAGATGTCTTGGTAAAAGTTGAATGTGTTGATAATGATAGGGAAATCAAATTATTTTTCTTTCTATATTGTATAGTGTTCAATAATGTTCCACATAATTTGCTGTGTTTTTAATTTTGATTTTTTCATATAGATTTGACTTTTTTTTTTGTTGATTATTAATTATGCTTGATATTTCTATATTATGCAACAATCTGCCATTACATACAATGCCTTGTCAATTCTCATTTTTTGACTTTGCCAATTTCCGTTTAATATGACTTTTCTGTTGCTGAAAGTATGTTTTTAATGCATTAAAATATTGATGTTTTGGATATGTTTTGATGCTATAATCATGCAGAAACTTGTCCCGCCACTTTTTTCTTAAAGAGAAATTATTTAATGAAAATTAATCATATTTATATTTATAATTGTGAAATAATTTTTTTTTTCTTCACGGCCAACAGTTATTTTTTTTTATGAAAAATATGAGACAATTTATTCAACACACTTTTTAATTTATAAAAAAAGAATGTTGATTGCGATAGTCAAATATGCAGAAATCATGCATTTTATTGAATAATAGTAATATAAAATATTTTATTATTACTACCAAATAGAAAGTCAAAGATAGTTAATTTTGAACTATTAATTATGATCATATGGATTTTTTTTATACATGTGTTTTTTCAATGAACTTTTTAAATGATAATATTGACAATATAGACTTTGCTATAATAATTATATAGACTGTGTTATAATAATAATTTATTTATTTAGTTCATTAATTTTTTTTTTCAATTCATCTTATTATGCGTATAGTCTAAGTTTATAAATTATATGTCATTTAAATGTATCTATACTACTAATTTATAAGGTTTTGCCATTTGGGGAGCTAAATTTTTAATTTTAATTATGAAACTAATTTTTCTTATCATTTTGTAGTTATATGTTTGATTGAGTATGGCTGGAAATTAAATTACAAAAAAAATATATTCATTTTTTATATTGTAATGTAACATGATATGTATTATAATGTTTGTAATTAATACATTTGTTAATATTTCTTATAACTTTAATTACTTATTCAATTCATAATGAAATAAAAAATAATAATATATAGTTTCTGCACAACAATAATGACTATCACGTTTATATATATAAATGAGAATAAGAAACATAAATGTGGGATTAACTAAAAGAAACTTTTTTAATTTAGTCATTAACTAATTAAGTTTAACTAAAAGAAACCTTCTTAAATGTGAGATTAATGAGTAATTAATTAAAAAAATGTAACTTCTTTTGGAGGGAAAATGAAAATACTTTTATTAAATGTTTTATTAAATGAGGTTAGCTAGCAATTATATATATATAGATTTCCTAAAGTTCTAATAAGATTGGAGCGTCTAGTAGCAATGTTTACACAAATGACATATCCCCTAGACTTTAAGAGTTTTGAATTTTATCTATATATTTATGCATTCTATTATATACATATGTAATGAATGAATTTTTCATTGGAATTTCAGTCAAAATTTTATTATGATCCCAATGGCCATATTTCATTAGCTTATTATCATAGGAATTTGTGCTGGAATTTGCAATTTTCGTTGGAATTTTTATTTCCACCAATATTGCAATAATTTAAAAACATATTGTTGGAATCTTTGGGATTCAATGGAAATTCCAATGAAAAGCTCATTCAAACTGAATATTCTTGTCGAATTTTTGTTAGAATCCATTGAAAATTTTCAACGAAAATAATAACATTGGTATATGCATTGAAATTGCCGTTCAAATTTCATTAAAATACATCTTCGTTTGAAATTCATAATTTGCTTGTAGTTCTTAGTCTATATTAATAACTATTTCTCTCTCATGTTAAGAATGAATGATTAAAAAATACATTTGTAGAATGCTAAAAATTCGAGTTGAAAAAATGGCTAAAATTAATATATGATAACAATAAATTAGAAAATGATTTTGAATTTTATATTCGTGTTGTTGATTTATTGTTTGCTATTATTGTTATTAATCTTGAGATACACGTGTGTCATGGCATGACAAAATTTTTTTAAAGTGAGAAAGAGGGAGGCATGGGAATAGAAAAAGGGTTATGTGCATCAGAAGCTAAAAAATCTTGGCTTCATATCCAAACAAATTACTTCATGTTAGAAAATACGAGTATATATATATTCAAGTAATTTTGAATTGAATGATTGGCTTGCAAATGAAGAATATATATGATGATGATAGGTAAAAAAGACAACATATGGAGTCAAAGACAGAGAACCTCATCACCTGTCCTTTTCCAAACCGTTTCTGGAGACCTTTCACCAAAAACTTCTTCAACTATAAAGAGTGTTATTACAATTGGCCACCATAATATTCCTATTCACCATTTATTTATCTCCTTTTAGTTCAAAAGATGTAATAGCCGACAACCATATGCAACACACAATATTTGTTATATAGAAAATTACAATAACAATGATCACCCATTTTAATTTATCAGATCTTTGGGGTTCTTATATCAAAATTTTAATTTCTTTATATTTTTTCGTAGGTTTTATTTTTCAGATATTTAGGGGTTTTTTTAATTTACTAGTTATCTTAGTTTGTAGGCGTCTTCATATTTTAGGTTCATCTTTAATTAATGCTTGAAGTTTTTTATATACATAAAGTAATATTTATATGCACTAATTTAATTTCCGGCCGTCATCGACACCTGTCAAACCCGTGATTAAATAGCCAGCATTTATCATGTTCTTGATTGATGATAAATTGTACAACAGCCATTGTATTATGTAGATAATTAAGTCATTCGCTTTGTAATGGATAAATTTGACCGTAATCAAGATTCTTTTTTTTTATTTTTAATTTGTAGTTGGTCGTAGAACTNCAAAAACAAATTTTCAATTGAGTATCAGATAAATGACAAACTTGCTGATTTCTCAGTATATATATATATATATGCCACATTAACATCCAAACCACATAAACCACATATAGCCGATCAAATGACCAAAATTGTTTTTATTTATTTCTTCAATTTAAGGATCAAAACAATACAATTGAACACTTTTATGAGACGAATATCCAAAATTAGCATCGGTCCAAAAATATATTTTAATCTACATCTTCACCACTAAACTCGCATTAGCTTAATTAATCACACTCTAGAGATGGACCTAAAAATTGCACAACAAAATCTACCCAGTATTTATTTATTTATTTATTTATTTCCCGGTTTTGTAAGCAACATGAAACCCCACCGCCATCATCGATCGTCCTCATCATAATCATTTTCTCACTCTGTTTAAGCTTTCTCCCTCTCGCTATATAAACCTCACTCCACATCAAAACAGTTGGGAATTCCTAAAGATTTGTCGGGAAAAAAGAAAATAGTAATAATAATAAAATGAGGAAGCCCGAGCAGTCAACAGGAAAAAACAGCACCTATAATAATAATAATAACAGCCCTAATAATAATGGGGTGATGAAGCTGAGAAAGGGGCTGTGGTCGCCGGAGGAAGACGAGAAGCTGATGAGATACATGATGAGCAACGGTCAGGGGTGCTGGAGTGACGTGGCAAGGAACGCCGGCCTCCAGAGGTGCGGCAAAAGCTGCCGTCTCCGGTGGATCAATTATCTCCGGCCAGATCTGAAGCGCGGCGCTTTCTCCCCACAGGAGGAGGACCTAATTCTTCATCTCCATTCTCTTCTTGGAAACAGGTTTGCACTTTGCCCCCTTTTTTTCTTTTTATTTTATTTTACTTTTCTGCTCATTTTAATTGACCTTTATTATTTATTTACTTACAGTTTTCGGAAAAATGGCAACTGATTGGTTAATCATATTTTGGATTTACACGCGTCATGCCAACTATTGATATTTATTTATATTTTTTGTTATTTTTATATGAATATATATGTTTTGCAACTTCATTTAGTTCATAGTTAATAATTAATGATATAAATAATGTAAAATAAACTTTTTAAGTTTGATGACATAATTCTAGTTTTAGTCAATTGTGTACGGAGTTGTCAGATTCATGGTAATTTTACCTACATCCTATAAAGCTAACTACTATTAAATTGAAATGTTATATTTTAAAAATTTATCATTAATAAAAATATAATATTTCATAGTATAAAACGGATAGACCCCCTAACCGAACACAAGAATTTGTGTTGGCATTATTGACTTTTTTATTATTAATATTAAAATGTTTTCCGTTGTTCTTTAAATATTAGGTCATAAATAAAATAAATAATTTTAATACAACTATGAATATGACATAAATTTCAATTTTCATTCAATTGTATGTGGGTTTTCCAAGGCCGTTTTACGATTTCTACTATTATTTTATTTCTTAAGTAATATATATAGACCACACATAATTAATTCACATTTCTACTATGATTAATTTGACGTCAACCACTTTGATAGGTAATGAAGATTTTTTTGTTGTGAAGATAAGTTGATTGAAATGGAAAACTTCAAAATTACATCATATGGGGACCAAATAGTAATTTCATGGTTAGTTATCATGAATTTGAGTTTTGTCAACTAAGTAATCAACTTCCTAAGGCACATGCACTAATGCTACATAGCTTGTAAACCTTATATTATGGAATAAATCATTAATCTTAATTAGCTTTTTTCAGTTCTCTGTTTTATATACCCCGTCTTTTCTATTTTCCGGGATATGAGAATTAGCATAACAATTTCAAGATAAACTCGAACCACACTTTTGGGAGAAAAGATCTATTATATTCTTGGACTGTTGTTAGGTATCTAACATTAGATAATCAAAAATTATATTTGTATATATATTATATTTAACTTGAAGTATGATATTTGAGTATCAAATTATGTACATTTATATCAAAAGGTATAATTATTCAGTCATTAAACAGTCTAACAAATTGTACGGAAAGTGAATTATTTTACATGGTATGATAAGAGGTTCCAATTTCGGGTTCCCAAAAATACAAATTTATTAGAAAGAAAAGATATATAAGAAGAAAGTAAAAGTTTCTACAAATTATCTACTTTATATATATGTGTGTGTTTTATCAGAAATTATGGCACCATTTGGTGCCCATATGGGCACCATAGAATTTCTGGTGTTTTTATTGCTATAAGTACTATATATTATTATTATTATTATTATTATTATTATTATTATTAATTGATATTTGTTTGTTTACAACACTACAGGTGGTCTCAAATTGCGGCACGTCTACCTGGGCGTACTGACAATGAAATAAAAAACTTTTGGAATTCCACAATAAAGAAAAGATTAAAGGCAACATCTTCTTCATCTCCAAACACGACTGACTCATCTTTAGAGGCGGCCATTGATGAGCATCAAGATGCCCATCTCATGCAACAACACAACATCATCATGGGCATGCTCATCGACTCATCATCTTCATCATCATCATCATCCTATTCATATTCAGCCATGCATCATCAACCCATTGCTCCAATGTACAATAATCCCTATCCTACCCCCAACCATGCTTTTACTTACATCCAAAGTGATGGCTCGTACTTAAACGTACAACCAGGCAATGCACAGGCTAGGGATATTACCAACACAAACCAAAGGGTGTTTGGCAGTGGGGATAGCGATGTAATAATCGGCTTGGAAGGGCATCTCTTTGATGTTTCTCGTTTGGATCAAACCACAAACATGACTCACCAAACATTCAATTTAGGGGAAATTAGGAGTGATGGTAACATTATTGGTAATAACATGAGTGACATAGTTAACTACCAAAGTGAAAGTAACATCAACAAAATCAAAGTGGAAAATGAAAATCATGAGGAACTAGGTAATTTAGGGGGGTATTGGGGAGAAGAAGAACTAAGAGAATGGGATTTGGAGGAATTGATGAAAGATGTTCCTTCTTTTCCTATTCTTGACTTCCAAGTTGAATAATCTTTTAAGCCTCTCACCATACATATCTTTGCCCTATTCTCTCATCTTTGATTCCTA